GCAGTTGTATGTTGAACAAAAAAAGAAAACAAACAAAGAAACCCACACAGTCTCTATGGCTTGCAGTGTTTACATTTTTGATTATATGATCAGCCTTTGTCTAATCATCACACATTGAGAGTTATAAAATACTTTATGTACAGTGTCAGCTCATGGCTTTTATTCATGTTGATGCAAGTCATTTGTGGCCATGAAGGAGAGGATATCTTCTAGAGTTTGTAGAAGTGCTGTAGGAAGTTTTTATAGAAAAATACTATTCATTGTGCACAATATATGTTATGACATATTGGAGGTGTTTTTAACTAACCCTTGCAAGGCTCCTGTGCTAAAGGGAATATAATACGTTAAAGAAAAGCTTGTTCCTCTGACCATCAGCAGCATAGTGGGCTGGAAAATAGTAAAGGCTTTGTCCTGCTGATTTTGCTTAAACCCAATAATGGAAGTTGAATGGAATATGATTGATGGCAATTGGCAGCAAGTTAACGATAAACTTAGTGTCGCTCAAATTGACGATATATATCAAGAGACAATGATGTATGGTACAATTTGTTTCCACATATGAAGGAATGACTTTCATAACTCACATCTCCATTCCTCGTGAGTTGTCATTTTCTTCGTAGTAGAAATTGAAAATGTAATGCCATTTGATCCCATTATGTTGTATGCTATACCACTCTGCCGTGACCATCCATGTGTGTCTTCAGTTTGTATTTTAAAATATCAGGTATGCTGTATTCAACTCCAATTTATTCTGAGCGTCTTTGGCAACAATTCTGTATTGCTCCATAGTTTTCCTTGTATATTGGGTTCCAAATGTTAACAGCTCACAGATGGATAGATGACCCAACTCCCCGAGCAAAACCCACAGGCATGCTACAGGGAGAGAGCAGCGGGGACTCTCTCATATTCCCTTCCAACCATTCTGTGGGAGGAAGCATCCTGTGGGTTATGTTGCTAGACATATTTTATGACCAAGACACACTACAGGGAAGCATGAGGGAACTCAGAGCTCACAGGCCAGAGAATGGGACCCAAACTATTAAGATTTCCGTGGACATGGCAGCCCCCAGTAACTTGTGATTGGTGACTTCCCTTCACAGAAGAGGTACCAAAACTATCTTTTCCTGTAGAGGAAAACTTTGTTCCTCTCTCCCTTTCTGGATTCTGATCTCAGGACTGTGCTTCTGCCTAAATTCTTGTATTCTCATGCTGCATATATCAGATCTATTGGGACAGATGTACAGACACAAGCACTGAGATGGTCTGTTTTTCAAAAATTTCTAGGAACCCAAATATAGTACGGGAAACACATTTTTATACTTGGTCAGATGGTCTTAATTCCAGGTTTGCCAGCCTAGAAAGAGGGAGGGAGCTAGGCTGCTCTAGTGGTGGCAGATGACAGTACAACAAGCAGTGACCTCAAGCTGTAGCAAGGGAAGTCTAGGTTAGATTAGGAAAAAGTCTCTCCCAAGGAAGGAAGAAAACACTGGAACAGGCCACCCAGAAAGGTGGTGGGATCTCCATCCTTGAAGGTTTCTAAGACCTGGCTCGACAAAGCCTTGGCTAGGATGGTCTAGTTGGGGATGTTCTTGCTTGGAGCAGGGGGTTGGACTAGATGGGACAATCCTTTTGCAAAGATTTATTAACCAACCCCCTGCTGGCATAGAAAGTTAGGGTTGGAAGGACCTTTTCTATGATTCTATGCTTCTAGCTGTACAGTAAATCCATGGTAATTTACACCATAAATGGGAGACCTGTTGTAGAGTAGAGCTTTTGCAGATTACTGAATATGGAGCCCCAGACTCAGCACTAAAGAGATGCAGACCCTAGAGCTTCTACAAAGCTACTCAGCAGGGTTTTTGGAAGAAGCAGTTTTCAGCCCACTAGGTGAAGAAGTCTACTTGGGGCACGTGCCCCTACCAGCTGGAAGGGAGCATCTTCCAGCAAATTGTTAGATTCCTTTGCATTCAGCCCCAGTTTGTCCTTCGCAGACTGTCTAGAAATAGATTCATAGGGGTCTCTGCATGATTGTGGAAGGGGCTGGATCAGTCCCTGAAGTCACTACTCATGATGTAAAAGCAAGGATGAGCAATCACAACATGCACATTCCAGTTATGACACTTGAACTTCCAGTTCCATTTTTGACAGAACTTCCTCATTAAAAATTAGCTCTACCTAGAAGCGTGCTGTGCTTCAGTTCTGTAAAACACACACAGTCTTAATAATATGGGCCCTCACTAAATCTTTGGCTAATAAATCTTTGAAAAAAGGGCTGTCAGAAGATTGTGTGTCTTAAAATTATGTATTTTACTGTATTTCTGCAGGACCTGGTATTTCATTGTTAACTGTTAGCTATGCTTGAAAATTACATATTTTTTTAAAGTGTAGAACAATACATATAATAAATATTATTTGAATTAATAATACTTTTTAAAATGTGCTCTCTTTGTTTTTCCCATGTTTTTGCTTTTAGTAAAGGCCATATTTTTATAGGCTATAATTAGCCAACTCTTCATAGAAACCCACCAGCTTTCCAGGCTACCTATGGAAAAATGTGCCTTTCTTCAGTTCTTCACTTCTGTTCTATGTTTTCACCCTCCTCCATTTTCTAATTGTTTTCTTATGCCTTGGTTTAAACAAGTACATGGATAATAGTCTGTTAAACATGTTAATTCCATCAAGCGTCAATTGACTGAAATTAAATTGAGATGAGTGTCTATAAGATATTTGCAAACAGGCCTACAATAGGTAGAGAAAATGCTCATACAATTACCTGTCAGATCTCCAATTATTAAAAAAAAAAAAAAAAAAAAGCTAGACCTTTATTTGCTGGTATTAACAAAAGAAACGACACCTATCAGGTGATAGCATTTTAAGTCAAATGATTTTGAAGTTCTGTGTTTTTTAACAATTATAGTAAAACTCTAACTCAGATCCGTTTCCCCCAAGCCAAGAAGTCAGCTTTTGCAGTCATTCACATTCATTTGGGTTTTTTGAACTGTTCTAGCATCTCACCCGGTGTGGAGCAAGCAAGAAGTGTTTTGGCAGTGGTTTCCCCTTCTAAGGTTATCTAACTTTGTTTTTGAAAAAAGGCCAATTTTGCCTATCCAGTATGACTTGTTTCAAAGCACCTACAGAACTACATTGTGTTTACCTTCACCAAGCAATAAACCTCTCTCATTGATTTTTAGTTAATTTTGTGAAGATATTGAACCTTTGATGAATAAAGCTGTGTTTTAGAATGTGGGTAAAAAGGAGACTGCTGAATAGGTATTTGAAATATGGTCCTAGTCATCAGAAATAATCTTGATTTGAGATTTACGCACCCTGGATCTCAACAAGTAGTTGAGATTTAAAAGACTTCAAGGCATGTCAGTACAGATCAGGAATCATATCACAGGAATTGCAAAATTTAAAAATAGGGTTGGGTGAACCTGTTTTGCCTAATTTTGAATTCACTCCATCATTGTAGATTCTGAAGTTTGACACACAAGTTATTAGCTTTGTAAGGAAAGACTAGGGAGAGCACAGGGAGGAAAAAACCCCTAGAAGATCAGAATGAAAGATGGAGCAGAGAATTGGCAGAATGAAAAACAAACACAGACTGTGAAAAAATTTCCACTGACAACAGCATATACACACTGTCTAAATGCTTTCCATTTGTGCCAGACTAGATTTGGGGCAGAAGATGAAGAGTCTGGGCTCTTCTATCACAGATGTATACCACTGGTTTTCCTTTGGCTAGTCTTTTAAAAAGAAGTTATAATAATCTTTGTAAGAAAAAATATAAAATGCTGCATAGATAATGCAGGGAAAATATGAATTAATTACCTATTTTGAAAAATACTCCTTCAAACTGCAACCACAGTTTAGGAGCAGGATCTCCTTTGGTTTCGATGAGGCTTTGCCAATTGCTATTTAAAAACCAACACTCCTGCAAGAAACCAGAAAAGTAAACCAAAAAAATCATTTGGTACATGTCAAAAGCAGGTTTCTTTACGTCAGTAAACTGAAATGCAGTTGTCAGACGACTGTCGTGTGTGTAGACAAGTTACTTTGGGGAAGGAGTGCAGTCAGCCTGAAGATCAGATTCCTCCAGGGCTCCTCTTAGTGGTATAAGCCTCAAGTTGCGGATAACGAGATTCTCAGAGGTTCAGAACCAGAAGGTTCATCTCAGGTCTTTCTCTGTCAAAAGCAGAGAGAACTTGGTACATAGTAGGTGGAAATTTACTGCCTATGAGTAGTAAAAAATAAAAAATGGAGATCTTAGTTCTGTAAGGACCAAAGGCAGATTAATTCAGTCTGAATAGGAGTAATTACTCCATTAGTAGTCATACAACCACATTCATTGCTCATGCACATTAGCAATGCTGTTGTGTACTGTACTTGTTTCATAACCCAGACAGAGGCTGTTTCCATAAGAGAAGGTATTTCCTCCAATGTGTTTGCGAAACATATCCCCTCCTTTTCCCCTCAAGCCTCATTTGCCTGCTACATTAACTACCTCAACTTCACCTCATGGATAGCAGCGTTCAGTTTTATTTATCTGTAATAAAGTCTTCCAGGCTGGAAGGAAACTCCAAATGAACCTACACATTATTACAGATTTGATTTCCTGCCAGTTGAATGCTGAATCACATTTTATATGCATACACAAGATAAGCATCCAGTATAAAACAATATTTGTAAGTTTATATTTGTAAGTTTATATCTGTTATATTATACACCTGTGAATGCACACACATTTTCAAATGAAGAAACCTTCTGTCTACATGCTTCAGGTACCATTGACAATTCAAAATGTCTACCTCAGAATAACAGTCCAGTTTAGCTAAAGCTCAGCATAATGAAGTATTTGAGCACAATCAATGTTGGTTCAATTTTGTCACTGAGAAAAAATAGTTAAATCTCTTGCATCTAATGGTGGGGTACAGTGACCACTGGAAAGCATTACATTTTGCATTTCATACTGGTAACCATTTGTCTTCCTTTGTTTACAGTGTGCTGTTCCAGATCCAATACAGACAAAATGTCCAGCAGAGGTGGAAAGAAGAAGTCCACCAAGACTTCCCGCTCTGCAAAGGCTGGGGTCATCTTCCCCGTAGGAAGAATGCTCCGTTATATTAAGAAAGGTCACCCAAAGTACAGAATTGGTGTTGGAGCTCCAGTGTACATGGCCGCAGTACTTGAATACCTGACTGGTAAGATTAACAGAAAAATGCAACGTAGCACCAGGGAGAATCAATACAAGCACAAGCAAACTCCTATAGTATACAAACAGGAGGAAATGTCTCCAGTGAATTGTCTTTCTGTCTTTTCTAAAGGCAAAAATAGCTGTTGCGAAAATGAGGTACCTAGAAGCCTAAGCTACCACATTTGGGATCTACAGCTCCGTATTTTGTAGGCATCCCAGTCCAGGGGTTTGGCTTGGCGTGGCTTGTTAAAAAACACTCTTATCAGACTTGACCTTTCTGAAAGATTCTCCCCGACAGCCATGGGCACTGGATTGAACCTCCCATGCTGCAGTCCTGTCTAATTCCACTCTTGCGTTTGAGCTTTTGGTTGATATTATATTTCTGTTAGACTATACATTCTTTTGGACAGAGTTTTTCTTCCTGGTTCATCCAATGCTGTGATTGCTGACCTGATTATATGAACATTAAATTTTTCCTGACTTCTAGATTACTTTCTTCCTGGAGGTTGGTGGGGTGTGGAAATGAACTTTCCTATTTGTTTATTTTGAAGTCCAGATGCACACTTTACTTTTAGGTTTAGTCAGCAGATCTGTAAATATGTACTGTCTGTCAGTCTGCACTTCAGTACAATTTGTTTCTTTACTTTCATTAGCAGTCATTTTCTGTTGTCCCCAGCACTGTAGTATCAGTGCTGTACTGGTAAAAATCAGGAAGTTCAAGGTTTTTTTTCCCTATTTTCAAAGTGAAAATTGAGGTAGAGAGAAAGTAGCTATCCTGAGATTATAAAGGAAGTCTGTGGCAGAACTGAAAATAAAACCCTGGATATACCACACAGAGCACAGGAGCTTAACTACAGAAAAAGTCTTCTTTTTGTGGAAGTCTTAAAAATTCCAGGTTTTTATTCCTGAAATCACTAACTTGAAATGAATCCTAAATATAATAGTTTCCACTATGGGAGGTATTATCAAGGTTGATAGATTTTTAGAGATGATAATCTTGACATTAGCCACTGAGTATAAACAATAAAAACAAACCACAATCTTAGTCACACAGCCCTATCGGTTTATGGATCTGTATATCTATAGCTTAGAAGCCTCAGCATAGGACTTAGGCTTCACCAATGTTAAATAGATTGTTATTCAGTGGAGACTTCTATTAATAAGAGATAATGAAAACCCTTCATTGATTTTTAGCCTCCCCCCGCTAGCACTTCTGCACAACACTTGCTTCGTTTGGTTCTCTGGCAATGGTCAATACCTGATCCATCAAAGCATGATACCTTCTCCATAATGTACCCTGTCAAGTGGGAAAGGGAAGCAGAGTTAGAGTGCCTGTTCGTGTTCTTGACAGCAAGCAGCAAAGCAAGTGATTTGGAGTTGTCACTTTATTAAAGTGAAAGGGATGGTGCCGTCACCACTAAGAGCACACACTTGTGGTCAGCTCAGAACAGACCGTCCTCACAGCCAAGACTTGAGGTAGGGAACAGCGATTATAATTTGAAAGATTTCACGTTGCCTTTCTCCATCACGTTTTTTACTTCTGCCTCCCCTACCAATGCTACAATAAAAGATTGGTAACATAAGAGAATTAATTCATAGTCTGCCCAGTTTGTGTAAAAAAACAACCATTTACATTACCTTGTTGGGCTGTGTTCTTCTGCTAGTCACCAAACCTTCCTTATTTTTCAAGAAGTCTCTAGTTAGGTTCCCCCAACCCTACTTTAGTTTTCTTCTTTAAAAATAGCTCTTATATGCTGTAGACTCCCTATAAAAAAGAAATTAGAGTGCTTTGTTTTCCTTGCTCTGGTAATGCTGGTGCATATAGCTATTACATGAGAAAGGAATGGCAGGGGCTTTGAATGTTGTCCTTTTAAAGGAGCAGAGCAGTACAGGTGAGCTTGTGGCAGTACTAATGAGCAGCATATGTTACCCATTAAATCCTTGATTGAGAGGCTTTCTGGAACAGGAATATCTTTGGGAATGGAGAATGGTATAGGAAATGGGTAGTATTTCTTTAACAGCTGTGCACTCTGGGAAGTTGAATTGGAGGAGATAAAAGCACACATCCAAAGGACCTTATTTAAAAGCAGAGATGCTAGGAGGGGGAAGGCGTTGTTTATATAATAGGCTTTTCTCATATGTTGATGTAGGCAGTTCACATATTGAGGCACCTGTTAGGTGAATGAGTTTATTGTAGAGCGGTTATGCTCTCCAGGATGAGTAGGGGGCAGGTAGTTGTAGAATTCTTTGTGCTGAAGTCTTCCATCTTCTCATGTGTTGGGCACCTAACATCTAGCTCTTTTTTCTCCCCATTGAATCATGGTGAGCCTTTGTGTCTGACCTCACCTGCTTTTCCTCCTCCCTTTGTCTATTGAACACTGCAGCTATTATTCATGGGGCATGTCTTTTAGGCCCTTGAGTTTTAGCATCTTCATTTGAAAAATGTATTTTTTTTTATTTAAAAAGAAAAGCATGTTACAAAGATCATCAGAACTCTTAGAAGCTCACTGGAACTCATTGGAGACTTTTAATAAGAGTGAGCTTTTTTTTCTGCCTGCCTTGTTAAACATCACTCTGTAAAGCCAAAAACCTGCCTCTTCCTGCCCCACAAAGGTAATCTGGAAAAGGCTGCCTTATCAAGACATAATCTAAGAATAAATGGGGGATGTTAGTATGCCTTAGAATGGAGGAAGAAATGTGATGTAGTGAAGATGAGCTAATGTAAACCTGAAAGATGGCAGGGACGGAGACCCTGTCCATCTGGAAAGGGAAGTGGAAATGATGATACAGAAAATAAACCAAGGGAGTTGGTTGAAGAAGAGGGGGAAATAGGATATAAAAGAGGGTCAGGAATTAAAGGGCACTGAGACATAATCAATGAAAAGGAAACTAGAAACTTTGAAAGCAGTTCAGGTACCTATAGTGTATAGCCCTGATCTTAATCCTTTTCTGTTTGGAGCAATTAAAAGTGCAGCAGATACTGACTTCCACTGAAAAGCCTCCTTCTGAACTTGCACTGAAAGATTAATGTTCAGACCTGAGGTTTTTGAAAGGTCCTCTGTAAAGGAGGCTTTGAACTTCAGTAATATTCATAGCTATTTAGATTTTTGTCTTATTTTTTACATCCTTCTCTAGTTAGGAGAGACTTTTCTCCATTTTGCAGTTCAAAGAACTTTGTGGCACCACTCCAGAACATGAAAACATGGATATATTGCACTTTCAGTTCTTCTTTTCCTCTGTCGTACCCTGATGCCCCCAAGCTCTAGTTTACATTCTGTATTTCAGTACCGTGCACGCTATCTCGGGGCTTTGAAGTACAGGTTTACTAACAAGGGAGCAATATACATTGTACTAGTACACCAGAGACCGCTGTCCTGCAGCCGCTTCAGGTCATTTGAGCCTAAAAAACATGTATCTTTGTTTTTCCCAACCAGAGGGATGGTAGAAGCCTTTCAGGTGTTCTAGCAGCTCCTGTCTTGAGCAGCAATTCCCTGTAGCCATTATTGCTCTGCAGTAAATAAGGAGGAAAAGAAAGATCTTTAAATATTTAGTTTGTATTTGGCTCTTCAATTAATGAAGGGATCCCCTTTATCCCACTTTTCAATATACTTTGAGGTCTGGTCAGGCATAGCTCTAGTCTGGCATACAGTACCCTCCTGCTTTTTGACAGTAATATCCCAAAAAAGTCCCTGTCAGCATGTACAACCTACATGGATACCTGTCTGTAAATGTACTTCATACACATTCATTCTCTTGGATTTCATACAAACAAATAGCGTAGAACCTCTACCTTGCCAAAGTGAGTTGGGCAAAAGGAGATAATGCATCTTTTTGTCTTGTCAAAGCTTTTGAGGCAGATGAGTATGAACGTACCACAGTGTACATTGTTAAAGAGCAGGTCAGTTCTGCCCACATACTCCAGAATCATACATGATATCTTGTAATTCGTGTTTGTGACATTTCTTCTTTCATCCCAAGATTGGTTTAGATAGTGCTATCAAATCAGATCAAGACAACCAGAATATTGCATTGCGGTTCTCCTTACACATAGGGGCCAGTTTTTATGGATTGCAAACTGGTTTGGGCTGAAAAGGAGCGCTGTGGTGGCTATACCTTGAGGTCGCTGACAGATTGGGATGCCTCACCTTATCCCAGCAGGGGTGAGGGCATGTTGCCCATTTCTCTTCCTGCTCTCCCTAATGGAAAACTACAATCTGCTTTTCTGCGTATTTCCTCTCTAAAGTTCTGGCCATATTACCTGAAACCCCTATGTCTCCAGTTGACTCAGAATGAGAGAGACGGTCATATACTACATCTTGGACCAGAAAAACCATTCAGATGTCTTTGTATAGATCCTTAGTTGTTCTAACACTTGCCTAGCCACACACACAGCCACATATCTTCCCCTTGGACCTATGATTTTCAGGAGTTGTATTACACGCATCTACTCTGAATATTCTGTCAACCCGAAAAAGAACACCCTTTGGTTCTGAAAAAAGGAAAATCAAATTCTCCTGAGCATATATTAAAGGCAGCCAGAAACAGGCCTGAGAGTGGTGTTTTTTTTGGTCAGCTCACTCCTCTACACTGAAAATAAGTTTCAGTTGCCAAAATGTCACAGCAAATGAGGAGAGGGAGAAGTTTATAAAACAGCAGGAGAGCAGGCATACAGGGAAAAAAAATAGGACTTTGATTTACATTTGTCCTGCAGTCGCTGAAGTCCAGATAGAAGAAAACTTTAAACGTCTGTTTTTTCCATTAAAATTTTTCCTTGACTGGATTTTATTGTCAATTCATGTATTTTGTTAAAATAGAAGACAAGCACCTTTTGAATACCAGAGCTATAATTCCATCCCTGGGGTTCTGGTGACTTAGCTTTGTTCTCAGGCATTATGATATCACCAGAACTGCCAGTGGAGTTTCAGATAGTCAAGGTCAGTTGTCTGCTCTTCCATCTCGCATCATTTTAGTTGCAGAAGACTATCTGAAGCTGTTGACCAGCTCAAA